ATTATATTATATGTGATTAAGGAAAACTTTGCTGTCTGGATATACACTGGAAGGTTGTGCCTAATTTTCACTAATGTTTATTTTTTAAAGACTTATTTATTTTAGAAAGAGAGCAGGAGTGGGGAGGGGTAGAGACAGAGGGACAGAGAATCTCCAGCAGACTCCCTGCTGAGTGTGGAACCCACACGGGACTCAGTTGCAGGACCCTGAGATCATGACCTGAGCCAAAATCCAGAGTTGGGTGCTTAACTGACTGAGCCACCCAGGTGCCCCATAATTTTCACTCGTGTTTAAAGAGTCACTCAAGGAGAATGCATCTGCCCAGAGAATCAGAGAGCCCAGCAGTGCAAATGAATCTAGACAGATGGACAGAATATACATCTATTCTTCTCAGCTATGGTGCAGCCCGTCTCTCTCCCATACAGCTCCTCACGCCTACTCCGCTGCCCTGCTGTCTTTGGCATGTCCTCATCTTAGCACCCTCAGGGTCCCACTAGCAGAATCCAGTCTTTATTCTTTAAGAGACTATGCTTTGGAAGACACAACGGGGAAGCAGACTAAAGGGGATGCATTCAAAATTCCCTTAGAGGAGTTTTAATCTATATCTAGCTGCTGTGGGCAAATAGCCGGAACTACTCTATAGACTGCCTGCTGAAAACCAGATGATGTTCTCAAGCTCCCAGAACTACATCCTGATCCTGAAGCCAGATACACCCATCACTGCAGAGCCCAGAGACTGTTGGCAGTCTTTTCCTGCAGAACTAAAATCGTACATTCTTCAAATTATAGGTGACTCCTAGTCATAGAGTCCTTAACTCAGGGTTGATGGGCAGTTTTTAAAAGCAATCTTTGAAAGAGACTTCTTCTAGAAAAGAATATAGAACTTTTGAACACAAGTGTTCAGCTAAACAAAAAAGTTCAGAATGGTCCAGATTGTAGGAAATCAAGAAATTAAAGACGGTCTGAGGGAAATGAGAGAGGCCTCAAATAAATTTAACTGCCTCCTTACCAGGAGCATAGGAACCTTTAATTTTAGGGCAAGTCTGGATTGCACTGCTGTGAAAAAGGCCATGAATTCTTGGAGCAGAATGGTACAAGAAGCAGAAATGAGAGAAAAGCCTGGCTAAGTGTGGGCAGCACAATCACCACTTTGGGGTGGGGCCTGATTTTCTAAAATGACACCATTTGTAAAAAGGGTTTCAAATACTATTTTGACTGGTGATTGCATGTCCGTAAAGAGTATTAATTATTTTGGGACTACCTCCAATGTTTAGATGCTCCATCTTTTGAACACACTGATTGATTAGTTAATCTACAGCTGCTCCTGGTGCTCAGCAATTGTCCCTGTCTTGTTGCTAGGAGACCAGGACTGCTCCAAACCGGCCTGTGTGACAGGCATAGTGAGGAGGTGGTGGGTTCTGCCGATGAGCCACAGTGCCATCAAGTGGTCACTCTGCAAAAACGGTTTGACAGAGTGGGTTTGTGTCCCCTGTTCTCTAATTAGACAACTCAGGTTGTCTCTGTTCCAGACGAATTAGCTGAACCTCAGGGAATTGTGTATTCTCTCCATCCTCTTCTGCACACAGTAAGGGTTTTTTTTCCTTCCATAAATGAATGATGTCACAGCAAGCATGAGGGTGAAGTTAAAAGAATGTTGGATGGGTTGGTAGACAGCATTTTAGTTTGTCCTTACTCCGACCTCCCTTGGTTGTAATTTCTTCCCCTAAACAAGGAAGGGCATAGACAAGGTCTCTCAATGTCCTTTCTATCCCCAAATCCCTAATTCTTTGCTGCTTTTACATGCAGTTGTTCCAGAGCTTATCCTTGTGGCTGATCCTGGTCAAGGAGCTCCCACAGACCTTGGTGCTGTGGCTTCACGGTGAGTTTGAGCAGGTGGCAGCAACGGTGGCGGGGTGGTGGGGGCGGGGGCGGGAAGGACCGTGCCCACCATCAGAGGCAAAAACCACAAACTTTCCCTGGCAAATGACTCTGCTTGCACATGATTGATGGGAGTCCCCCTGGGTAAACTTGTCCTTCCTAAGCAAGGAATTCTGGCCCAGGGAAGCCGCTCCAGGAGTCTTGGGTAAAATCCTGTGATATAAGGTCAATGGGAAAGCCCTTCTGAGCGGGATGTGCTCATGGACTCAGAGCAGCAGGCTGGCTGGACTCGGAGAAATTCCCATTCCACCTCAAAGGATGCACCCCCGTCCCTTCCTCTGACAGTCTCTGGGAGCCAGATAGGGGGACTGGCTCTACTCTGCACCTTGCCCCCACTACCTTTCTACAGCTGTTTGGAGGCCCCACGAATCCAGATTCATCGTGCGCCTCGTCATGGACCCCACACAGAGACTGGGGTCCTTTATCACTCTCCAACAACCTGCCTCCCTGTGGCTTTAACTCTTTCTTGCCAGGCAGGTATGAGTTATTGTGAATGTTGTGCTGTCTTGCTGGGACTTCTGCAGATCTTCATCAATCTGTACATTATATCCAGGTTCCTCTGATGTCAGGATCAAGTGAGACAACAGGAATCCTAAATATTAAGCCAGCCTGAACCAAAATACAGCGAATTACCAACATGCTAAGAGAGTGCAGCTGAATATGATTTGGTTGACACTTTTGTCATTATTTGGGGGATTCTATTTAAAAAAAAACTACTTTCTATAATAAGAGTCCTTATGAGACTGTGTCACTGAATTTCCACCTACTGGGGTAAACTCACAGAACATTCAAGACAGAATGGAGGGGCGCCTGGGTGGCTCAGTGGGTTAAAGCCTCTGCCTTCAGCTCAGGTCATGATCCCAGGGTTCTGGAATCAAGCCCCGCATCAGGCTCTCTGCTCAGCAGGGATCCTGCTTCCTCCTCTCTCTTCCTGGTTCTCTGTGATCTCTGTCTGTCAAATAAATAAATAAAATCTCAAAAAAAAAAAAAAATCAAGACAGAATGGACCGTAGTACTCATCTTTTAGTTTAACCTGAGACCTAAAAATATATATCAAAATAAAATTGAGATGAATTAAATTTAACTTTTTACAATCTAACTTCAAAAAATATGCCATCTAAAGGGACCAAAATAAAAGTATGCACCCAAAAATGGACAAAAATACAAGGGTCTTCTTTTTTAACAGGTCTGAACCTCAGAATCCAAGAGCCAATGAAATAATTGTCTAGCTCAATCTGTCATTTTAGAGTGCCATCTGCTGATGCGGTAAGTGAGAAGATGAGAAGGAAAAAGAGAAGGAAGAAAAATTCGAGATGTTCTTTTTATCTCTTGAATCTGTTGACTGAAGGAGGCACCTCCACTTAAAAACATCGGCTCTGCAGACGTTTTGTACATGAGCTCTTTCATGGAGGTTGTTCCTGGCCCTGAATACCAAATCCAGTCTTGTCTCATTTCTCTGTGATTGTATCTCTCACACTCAACACCACAAGTCCAAGAACCTATCAACTTATTCATGGCCAAAGAAAAGGTGAGGACCAGCTTGTCAAATTTTGCCTAGACTCTCCTTTTAAACTGGCCGGATTTTCTTAGACCTTCTTTAGATTTCCACCAAGGTGGCACCCAGGAGGCCCAGTGAAGCCTGGCTGGGGTTGGTCACTCACATGCTCCTTAGAGAGACTTCTGTAATGTCATGGGAAGAGTGACATATTGGCAGTTAGAGGACCCGAGTGTGTGTGTGATGACCAGCCCTGTCACACTCTAATGCGGGCAACTCACACAACATGGCATCCCAGGTTCCTCATCTGTGAAGCAGAGATGCCAAGTGTGTCACAGAATTCTTTTGAGAGGATAAAAGGGGATAGATAGTGTTGGTAAAATCACTTAACAACTGGAATTATTATTTGCAGCTCTTAACTGGGATGTGAAAATGCATACGAGTCTTATCTATAAGCCTCCTATTGTTTAAATAAGAACGTTTGTAAAATGTGCTGGCCCTACATTTTAAATAACCAAAACCTGACAAGCAGAGAACAAAACCTCGAGATACCATGGGCAAAGAAAAGTCTGGGCTTGGCAAGGGTGTGATGATGTAACCTGGAGAGAGATGGGGGGAAAGAGGTGCTGGCTGGGGAAATGGCCTCATGTCTGAGTCTCTAGGACAGTGAAGAAGGTGCTCCTTGTTCTTGCTGTCTTTAGTGTAGGGTATGGCTGGGCACCCAAAGACCTCTGCCTGAACTGCAGAGCCCAGAGAAATACCACCTGTTGTTTCTCCTGTTGGCATTTTCTGGGCTTGTCTAGCAAGGACACCTACTCATTGGCTTGAGTTTAACTCAAAGAAGAGAAGTAAACATCCCAGACACAGCCTAGATGGGATACAGATGTGAGAAAAAAACATTATGACTTCAGAATTTTCAGGGCATCATCAGTTGCTTAGGTTAAGGGGGAATGGAAAAAAGAGAGAGAGAGAGAAAGAGGGAAATTAGGTAACTTGATTATCAATTTTCTTTCCCTAAGAATCCTGACTGAAATTCAATCACAAACTTCCCAGCAAGTTCCAACCTATTTCATCCTATGGAGTGCATTCTATAGGAGATCTGGACAGTGGTTTCTCGGAAGAAGGTAATGTAAAAATATATACAATATTAACACTCCCTCAGTGTTACTTAGAGTAATGCTAGTCTCTGAAATGTGTGACACAGAAGATTGTATTTGGAACCAGAAACCCACAGTTAAAAAATTTCAGAAGGGAGGAGAAAAAGCAGACAGAATAAAACTAAGTAGAGTCATGAATCAAAGACTGTGTGTATGGTTTATGCTTTTTGGACCTAATAAGGGTAAGTAAAAAGTAGGAAAGCATTACCTTTTTTTAATGAATGTAACTAATACAGTAAAGGGACTACTGACCATAGCTCAAGGTGAAAGCTTCCTCTACAACAAAAAGCAGCCAAAATAAAACCACAGTTTACAAAATAAAACATTTCCCTCGGAAAGTTGATTGGGAAAAAAAAAAACAAACATATAAAAAGCTCCTGTTTTTAGAGTTAAAGCTTTTTAATCTCTGGCACATAACAATAATTGAAAGAATTCTGCGAAATTACACAAAAGTATTTGGCGGATTTGAATTAATGGGCCAAGCGAGCTTTTTTTCCTTGGCTTCTCTGTCAAATGAATCATATATCGAGTCTTTGGTTATAGTTTTGACCGTGGGAGGAATTTCTGAAATGCCAACGTAGTTTTTTTTGGCCATCCTTGAACTGGTTGTGATAGTATAGGCATTGCTTCGGTAACATTTCATCGAGGACATGCAAAATGTCTCTTTCATTCCTCTCCTAAAGTTGGCATTATAGATGGAATACAGCGTAGGTTTAGAGGCTGAAGAACTAAAGGATATCCACGTGATAGCTGTGAAAACAAGGGAACTTTTCTTCAAGTCTCGTTCGTGGGGGTGCCACAGCTGAGCCACATGGAAAGGCAGCCAGGAGAGCAAAAACAACAGATTTAAAATGAGGAACATCTTGATCGTTTTCACTTTGGTCCTTGGGACAATGTTCATGGTCCTCCTCACTGTTCGGCCATCAGTGCCTATTCTCCAAATGTACTTCACAACCTTCTGGTAAAACAAGATGATGAGGACAGACGGGATCACAAAGCTCACCAAGAAATGGATGACGCTATAGGCAGTTCCTTCCCAGGAGGAAGGGAAGAAATAGTTGCAGTGATTGTCCCAGTTCGAGCCAAAGAAAAAGAACACGGGGGTCACAAAGGCAGCATCGAAGACCCACGAGGCCACGATCATTTTCTTGGCCTTCTCTCTGGACACCTTGAAGCTCAGGGGGTAGACAATGGTGTAGAACCGGTCTATGCAGATGGAGAGGAGAACATAGATCTGGACGCCTGGGGTGAGGTACTGGAAGTACCGCACGACCTTGCACATGGCGCTGCCGAGCGTCCACCTGCCGGTGGCAAACTGCAGCAAGACGAATGGCGTGCTGGCCACACTGACGAGGAGGTCCGCGCATGCCAGGGAGACCACAAAGTAGTTGGTGGTGGACTGAGTCCTCCTGCTCCGGTGGATGACCAGACAAACCAGTGAATTGCCGAAGACAGAAAACAACCACAGGGCCCCAAAGAAAATGCTGGCCGTGGCCACCTCGCCAGGCTTCAGCCCCGGCTCCACGTCTGTTCTGTTGCTCGTCCAGCCACGCGCCTCATGGAATTCCGTCAGGTCACGGTGTGGCAGGGAGGAGGCGAGCTCTGTGCAGCTGTGGTTTTGCAGGGGCACCAGCAGTGTGGGAATAACCAAGGGTGGCTTGCTGTTCTCCATTCTGGGAGCAAAAACCATACTCACTTGCTTCCTCTCAGTTCTGGATAAGAAAAGAAGAAGGAGGCCTCCTGTTAAAATGGTGTCATACAGAGCGACCCCCAAGCCTACCAATCTTATCTGACACTTCGATGGGTTGTCATTCACCAGGGAGGAGGACTTGTGCCTTGGCAGGAAAACAGGACTACTATCCAGAAACAGCTCGGGCTCCGTCTCTCTTTCGTTTCAGGAGCTGTTTTAGCTGATCCCAGCTCAGGCTCTCTCTGGACTCCCCCTCTTGACCCTTCGTCAAACGGGGTAGAACTCGTGCCAAGCCCCACCCCTGAACATACCCATGTCGCCCTCACTCACCAGGGACCACGAAGGGTGAAGGTGCTCGGATCTGGCTCACGGCGAGGGCACCACCCCCCAAATGAAGAGCCGCTGGAATGGGGGGTCAGTAGATGAGAAGTTTTTAAAGGTCGTGACACTGAAGCAATGAGGCTGTGAGTGGAAAACATGAGGAGATGGAAACACACAGATGTCAGCTCTGGAAATGGCTTCCGGGAATCTGTGCATACAGACTGGCTGGCTCCTGGAAGGGGCCCCGTTCTTCCTTCTGCAGAGTTTCCAGTACAGAAGCATCAGGGAAGTACACAGAGCCACCGTATGTAACCTTCACAGGAGCCAGAATAGCGCCTAATTTAATGACCTCTGAAAATGGCTCACTTTTTTCCCAAAGAGGATGTGCTTCATGTTCTAATAGCTTTGCCACTTATCCATGACATATCTTGAGGCCCGTCTGCTTGTTACTGTTTCATAAAAGGACATATTGACAGGAGAACATATAAGTTGTCCTCTAAAGAATGTAACCAGGTTACTGGGAAGCTTATGGTCTCCAGATGACTAAAAGCAACCAACTATTAACTGTTAGCTTTTTCAAAAGCTTATGATCCTTAGATATAGAAGAATATTCTAAAGCCTAGCCTTTATTTTAATTTTGGGGGGAGCTACTTGGTGAGGGAAAAAATTATCCTTTTGAATAGGTAAAATGATTATATACTTGTGAGCTTTTCAGTTAAAATTAGGGTGACTTGGGTCGCAGTTGGATTATTAAGGTCTAACTTGGTCTGAATCTCTTAAGCAGAAAAGAGAAAGCACGGCCCCTAAATCCAAAATAACCAGAGCAATTCCATGGGGGCTGTGGATAAGAGGAGAGCATCCAGCATCAGGGCCCAGGGTCCCCCCTGGGGGGTTACTGTGACTAGCCTCACAAAGAAACATTTCTGAAGTTTTAGAGGTGGGATTAAGGAACACGTTTTTTGGTTTTTTTTTAAGATTTTATTTTCTTTTAAAGTAATCTCTACACCCAATGTGGGGCTCAAACTCACAACCCCAGGATCAAGAGTTGCATGCTTCACCCACTGGGCCAGCCAGGTGCCCTGAGGACAGTTCTTTTTTTTTTTTTTTTTTTTAAGATTTTATTTATTTATTTGAGAGAGAGACAGTGAGAGAGAGCATGAGCGAGGAGAAGGTCAGAGGGAGAAGCAGACTCCCCATGGAGCTGGGAGCCCGATGTGGGACTCGATCCCGGGACCCCGGGATCATGACCTGAGCCGAAGGCAGTCGTCCAACCAACTGAGCCACCCAGGCGTCCCACTGAGGACAGTTCTTAATGAAAGAACAGTTCTTACTGGCCTGCTTTTCCTCGAAGGACTTTTGCGCTTATTTGTAGCAGGGAGAGGAGTGTTAATATATACTGTCCTCACCAAGATGCCACATTCAACGAAAATCTGGAGCTCAGGGCAGTCCCATATTATCTTCAGGGTTTTGTTTGTTTGTTTTGTCCATGAGGCAGCCCTACTTGATTTCTCAAAAGAAATGTAAGTTAATTAGACATTTGACTATCAGAAGTCCTTTAAGCATGGCTGGCTGGTTGAGAGTCAGTTGTAAGAATAGCAACCATACTTTCCTTATAAAAAAAATCAGGATATGCAGTCTGAAAACAGAACATGAGATCTAAAATTGGCACTATCCTAGAAAATCTGGAATGCATGACCCTTGTACTTATAAAATTGAAGTAATCTCTTCACCTTCATTTGTGTAAAGCCTACAAAATGTCCCCCAAATTTTTTTAAAGATTTAAAATTTAGGGGTACATGGCTGGCTCAGTCAATAGAGCATGCAACCTGATCTCAGGGTTATGAGTTCAAGCCCCATGTTGGGAATAGAGATTACTTACAAATTAAATCTTAAAATAAAATAAAGATTTAAAGTTTAAAGGAGATGAGCAAGTCTCCCAGGCAAAAAGGGCTGTTCTAAATATTTTGGATATCTGCGGCCTAAACAAAACAGGAGTTGGTGCCACAGGCACTATTCTGTATTCAATACCCATTATTTTGAAACCTGTGAACTGACTTGTTTCTCTCTTCCTCTCATAGCAAAACATTGAAGATGAAACTCAAGTTTACCACCACAACTTGGGCACTGTGAGGCCTCCCATCTGCCATCACTTCCTCCGGCTGCATGTCACCAGCGAGTGTGTCTACCCACTCTTCTAGCCCCACCACTGGGAGCAGAGGGTCCCGCTCCTCAGAAACTGGACAAGGGAGCCTTGAGGAGCTCCTGAGTCCACGTCTCCCCGTGATGATAGCACAGCTGTTCTGACTCTACGCAAAATCGCTGCAGCTCTGTTTATTCATTCCATAAATCAAGACACTATGCTAGGTACTAGGGAAACAAAGGTAAGTAAGGCCAAGAAGAAGGCAAATGTATACACAAGCTGTTTGATCATATTATAACTAAATCCTAAAATAATTAAAACTGACACAACAAGACAAGGAGCTAAGTGGCAGAGGAAAACGAGGTCCCGATTTTGCACAAGATAGGAGAAGGAAAGATTTCACAAAGGAGGTGAGGTCCGAGTTGGGGACAAGGAGACCAGGACTTCTTCAGGAAGACAAGGGAATGAAAAAACATTCCAAGGGAGAGAGAAAGAACATGGAATGATTTGGGTGTTGGAGGAGGTCATCTTTCTGGGTTGATCTTTTTTGGGCCCTTTTCCCTTTAGAGACCTCATTTTCTGCCAATCATACCTTCCAGAGTTTATCATTTTTAAATGCCTGACAATCAGACTGGCCTAATTTTCCCCCAAGGTTACAATGAGAGGTTATATTTTCTGTATTCATGGGATGCGATGTGATCAGACAGTGGATGAGAATATTAACATATCCAGAACGGTTGTGGTATCCTTGTTCACACAGCACTTCAGCATTTTCCAAGTGTGTTTTGCTTTACAACAATGGTTCTCTAGCTCAGCAACGCAGTGGACCCTCCCAGAGAGCTTTATCTTTTTTTCTTTTTTTAAGATTTTATATATTTATTTGACAGAGATCACAAGTAGGCAGAAAGGCAGGCAGAGAGAGAGAGAGGGAAGCAGGCTCCCTGCTGAGCAGAGAGTCCGATGCGGGGCTCGATTCCAAGACCCCAGGATCATGACCTGAGCTCAATGAAGACAGAGGCTTAACCCACTGAGCCACCCAGGTGCCCCAAGAGAGCTTTAAAAAAATACCCCTGCTCTAGTCCTACCCCCAGAGAGTCTAACTGAATTGGTCCAGAGAGCAGCCTGGGCAGCGGGAAATTTCAGGGTTCCCCAGGTGACCCTCACGTGCAGCCAAGATAAGGAATTCCTGCTTTAGAACCGTTCCCATGTTTCTGTCTTTCCCCCACCAAGCTGGGGGCTCCCAGAGGAAGAATGTTATTCTTCTTCTTTACATTAATAATTTTTTATTAAGTATTTACTGAATCAAATCCATGACAGAGAACTGAAATGCGTGACTCCTGCTCTAGGGGGCTCTGCTAAGAGAATTAAACCAGAGATAGAGTGACTGTGTCTTCTCTGGAGCTGAAACACTGATGACCATAGAGACAGGGAAAACGAATCCTGAGCAGAGCAGGGCAGGCGGAACTGAAGTCCCCCTGGACAACTGTTACCTGCAGAAGAATTCCCATTGAAGGAGAGTGAAGGTAGCTGAGGGGGTCGGTCCTCAGACAGGTTTCTGCAATCCCCACTCCAGAAAAAAATAGTATGCCATATTATAAGTAAGTTCTAGGGTCCCAAAGTAAAATTTCAGAAAGGTTTCCCTGCTTCATTGATTTGGAAATAAATCCCTCTTCAGAGGAGTGTTTCTGAAATACAAGGGCTGCTTAACTGATTTTTATGTCTGGGTCATCCATATGCAGGAATTTTAACAGCAACAGGAAAGACCTGTTTCCTGTTCAACCTATGTTTTCCCATCCAGTTCTGTGACTGCCACATGACACACCCCACTGACTGAAGACCCTTATTAAAATATATCTCTATACAGGGGCACCTGGGTGGCTCAGTTGGTTAAGCGTCCAACTCTTGGTTTTGGCTCAGGTCGTGATCTCAGTATCATGAGATTGAACCCCACAGCAGGCTCTGCACAGGCATGGAACCTGCCTAAGATTCTCTCACGCCCTTCCCCCAACCCCTCCACCAACCTTTTCTCTTTCAAAAAAAATTTTTTTTTAAGTATCTAATACTTGAAAATAAGGCAAAGAGAGTATAGCAGATCTTCCTAATGTCATGCTAAGACATTGTTAAAGTGGCTTCCCCCAAGAATTATTTAATTCTCTGGGAGAAAGCATCCATGCTTGACCTTGCTATTTACTATATGATGAGAGCCCAGACACGTGAAGGTATGTGTTAACGTGCAGATTTCTGTCCAGCAGAAAAAATAACCCCCAAATTTATGAACTTATTGCTCTGTAGGACATTAACTGGTTTTGTGTCTACCTAGCAATCTTATGTCCACCTTCTTTAAAAAAAAAAAAAAAAGACAATAACAAAACCCTATAAATACCTATTTATTCGAATGCTCTCGGAACCAGCCTAATGATGTCACTGATTCCTTCAGGAGTAAGTTCACAAATCTCTGGCATGCATTCATCCTCTAGCTGTATAAGACCCATTATTTTATTATTCATTCATTCATTTATTCATTCATTCACTCATTCCCTTATAGGGGGACAGAAGGAGAGAGAGTGAATCTTAAGCAGACTCCACGCCCAGTGCAGAGTTGACTCTATGACTCTGAATTTGTGAACTGAGCTGAAATCAAGAGTCAGATGCTTAATCAACTCAGCCACGCAAGCACCCCAGGAGTATGACTCTAGCTTTCTGAAAATCACCCTGAGAGGTGGATGAATGTATGAATGATGAGACGCACAAGAAAGGACCACAAGGTGTACATCACAGTTCTGCCTGAGGCGATTCTTGGCCAAGCATATCAACTGGTGTTTAGGCTTATTCTTGAGTCCAAGAATCCTAACAACGAATGTCTTTTTCCTCATGAAATTATAAAGATTCACAGACATTCTCACAACATAGGAAGACCATTTTTATTTCTGACATTTGTTCAAAAATTTAATGTCAAACTAGAATTTTTATAATGTTGAATTTTTATATGATTTAGTTGGGA